CCCCCCCCAGAGACATCTGATCTATTTAGTTTGGGCTGAAGAAAGAAGATGAAGCAGGAACTTACTTACAAAACATCATAGCTTTTCTACCCTAGAAAAACTCTTAAGCTTTTCATCTTTTTTTTTTAAAAAAAATAATAATAAATCCCTTCAATTTTCCCGCCAGCCACGGTCAGAACGGTCAGAAGATCGGTCAGTTCTCGCGTGCGGAACTACCCGCACGGCTAATACGACGGATGAGGCCAGATGAAGAACTCGGCGGGCGGGTTCTGGAACGGGACCGCGGCCGCGACCTCCGTCGGCACCTCGGTGCCGGAGTGGAAGAGGTTGTGGTGGTGGAAGAGGCCTGCGGCGGCGGCATGGTGGTGGTAGAAGGACCCCGAGTCGAACGGGACCCCGCATGGAATGGCGGAGATGGGCGGGATCGCACCGAAGCTCAGGCAGCTCTGGTGGGACCCCGGGTGGCTGCCGCCGCCGACGAGGGCCGGCGGCTGCGGCCTCTGGTCGGACTCCAATGAGAGCTTCAGGCGCTTGGCGGCGCCGCCAACGGGGAGCACGCTCTTCATTATCGCCTCCACGTCGTATCGGCTCATTTCAAAGTTGGTCACGGCGTTCATCCCCCGGAACTTTATCGCCGCAATGTCGTACGCCTCTGCAGCTTCTTCCTCAGTTGCTTCAACAAGTAAAAAAAATTCATTAAAACTTCAATCCCATTGATCTGTTAGAGTTTAAAAAGGTAAAAAATGTAAATAATTACCAAAAGTTCCAAGGTAGAGATCTTTGTTCCCAGCTACGCGGCCTATCCTTGCTTGCCAGCGCCCTTGCTGATGATGCCTGAAAACATTATTAAGGTTTAGATCACATGTTTCTGGCCTTGAAAAACAATGTTTTTAATTAGCGTTAACATTTAAACTAGACGTAAAAAGTCTCTTCATTCCATATTAACTCTCTATTATGATTTTTTACATACAAAGAAAACAAATGAATGTAGACATACGTTATGTCTACATTCATTCACTTTTCAGTATATCTAAAAAGTTAACGTAAAAGAATCAAACCTTGTGACCCCGCGATAAATCGAAGCACCTCGGGAGAATCCGCTGCTTTTCCTGAGACGCAAAATCAAAGTTCATGTTTAGATTTTGTCACATTGCTTCAAATTAATTCCCAGATTTAGACTAATAAGGCTTTAAGTAGAGGCTAACCTTCTCAATGAGGCAATGAATTCTTGCTTAGTCATGTGCTTCATGTCCTCCAGTTCTTTGCTATAATTCGTAATCTAAGAGGGAAAACCATTTAATCATTCGAATCACATTGCTCGACTTAACACACTTGTCGGGTCAAACCCAAAACTTTATTTGGGTCAAAGCGAATGTATTTAACACCCGTTTCGGTTGAAAATGACACCAAGATTCTATAGTGGCCAACAAAACACTGCAAGTGTCTCAGGTCAGCTCCGCGTCAATTTATAAACGCAAGTGCACACTTATGCAGCACTTCACGTGGCCCAAGCGTGGGCCACTAGTTTACGAGACCTGACCTCCGAGAAATAAGGGCGGGTCTCGACCAGTTACGGTGGGACCACCCCGATTACTCTCTGAGTCTCGGTTGCGAAGAAGAAGAAAAAAAGAAAAAAGGACATACGGGGAAGTTGGTGGTGGCGGTTGGGCCCCAATACTTGAGTGCAGCCAAATCATACGACCTTGCCGCCTTGTCCTCCTTATCATAACCACCTGATCACACCCCATGTACTATTCCATGACTTTTTGCTAATTATATCAAATTACTTCAAAATTCATTTTAATAATAATAATATTATTATTATCATTATTATTATTATTAAGATCATAAATGAAAAGAAAACATACCCAAATACACTGTGTAGCAGCAGCAAATGGTGGCAATCAATCCATGCAAAATTAGAAAATCAATCATCAAACACATGGAAGGAATATGTGTAATTGAACTCAAATAATTAAAAAAAATAAAAAGTATATATTGAAATCAATAAACTATGATACAAAAACTATATTAAATAAATTACTATTAGCCCTAATAATGTTCATATTATTATTATTAATATTATGTCTAAAAGAGAGAGAGTGAGAGAGAAACTTATGTGTAGTTTAGGTAGCAAATAAAAGATCAAAACAAGTTAATTGAAATAAGCTTGATTTAGTTTAAAGGAATTACTACCAATTACAGTAGTAAACAACTTGTGATTTACTCACATGTTTTTAAAAATAAAAAAAATAAAAACAGTGATTTATCTCAACACAGGTGTTTTTTGGTGGTCCATGCAATTTCGCAGCTGTCATGATTTAAGGTTGTAGTTTTTAATTTTGAGATAATTCAGAATCTAACAAATTTGTCCCAATCCACATATTACGTGATGTACGGAGTACTAGTCATGCAGCGTTCCGTTCAACTTTTTTCTGATTATTACTTGTTCTTATTATAATCAGATGAGACTAACGGAACGCAACCTTAGTGTCCCATAATTATTTTATTATATGGTATTAATTTTTAATGAAATAGAACTTATATGATCTTATTTTGTGCGAAGAGCGAGAAATAACAAGGACAAAACCGTCTTTTCCTTTAAAACAAAGTGTACAAAAAATTCAAAACCAGATAGAGAAGTGCCTCTACATGACAATGAGAAATAATTTCACCTTCAATTATATTTTTCATTTCGCACTACCATAAAATGAAGGTAAAATTGAAAAAAAAAACACAAAAAGTAAGCATTCTTTAAATAAAACCTTCTCCAAAGTAAAAAAAAGTTTTACAGGACAGAGGTAAATATTTTTTCTAATTTAAAAAGTTACTGTGAGGTAAATATTTAATCCTCTTTAAAAAATATTAATCACCTTGGTATGTATTCGAGAAATCTTTTCCTTTGATAAATAAAAAAAAGAGACAGAAAATGGGCCAAACAAATAGTGGGTTTTGAAAAAGAGCCATATTTATTTATTTATTTATTTATTTTATGATGGGGGAAAAGACTGGACACAATGGTCAAACCTAATGAGAATCCTAGC